CCTTCTGACCCTACTTGTATGATTCTATGATGGCGAGCCCTTTTCCTTAGTTGAGTGGCCAGGGTTCAGGTGGCTCATGGCACTTGTGACCCCATACTACCACCTTCAGCAGGATGGTGGTGCCCTCCCTGTATGAGGCATGCTAGGAGTACTTGAGGGAGGAGCTGTGCAAGGCAGGTACACAGGTGGCTTTACACTTCACTTCAGGCATCTGGAGCAGCTGGGGTGATGATCACACCTATCTCTCCCTTACAGATCACTGGTGTGACCAGTCAGGCTGTTGGTGGGCTCTCCTTCAAGCCGAGGCAATGGATGAGTCCCACATGGCAACCAAATTATGGGGCCATGAACTGCTTGGTGCAGGGGTGGCTCATTTGGCAGGGCGAGCTCACCCACGGGTTCATTGTCATCAACAGTAGGGCCAATATGATCAAGGCAGTCCATGATGCCAACTTTGTTGGCATCCACTGTGTGGCACACATGTTGCACCTTGTTGTCAGGGATGCCTTGGAGCAAGACAGGGATGCTGGTGACAGAGCCAGCACCATTAGCAAGCTCATTTCCAAATTCAGGAAGATGGCAGGCTACTTCCACTGGAGCATGAAGGGGGGCAAGATGCTGCAGGAGAAACAGGCAGAGCTGAACATCCTGCAGCACAAAATCATGTAGGAAGTACAGACTTGGTGGAACACCACATACCTGACACTTGAGAGGCTGGTGGAGCAACAGAAGGCCATCCATGAGATGGCCTTGGTCAGGGAGATTGGGATCAGTGGCCCCCTTAACAGAGTTGAGTGGAATACCATATCTCAGATCTTGATAGTCCTCAAAACCTTCCTTGAGGCCACTGAGACCCTCAGCACTGCCAATGTCCTCCTTAGACAAGTGATCCCCATAGCAAGGGAACTTCAGAGCCAAATAGGGAGCTTCCAGGGGATCAATGTTCCTGGCTGGGGCAAGCTGCTGTCACCAGACATCCAGACACAGGTGAGGTGGCTGAAGGAAGGCATCAGGAAATTACTTGATCCCTTGCGGTCCAGTACAGTTCACGTGCCAGTCGCCATGTGTGACCCAAGGGTGAAGGGCAGCATATGCAGCAGCCAAACCCTGAATCAGTGGATGGAAGTGTCGGTGAGGAGAGTCAGGGAGGCAGAATGGTGGAGGTGGGGGCACATAGAAGAGGGAGCTCCACTGTCCCATGCAAGCACACCATCCACCAGCTAGTCTCCTCCTCCACCACAGGTACTGCCAATGTGGGCCATGGTCATGGCTTCTATGGGGCATGCTTGATGGTGGGGTCCAGAGCCACCAGACCCCACCATCAAGCAAGTAGTGCTCAGGCCTTGGTGGCTGCCTATCTTGCCAAGGACATGGAGGCACGCCTGTGAGAACCCTTGGCCTACTGGGCAAGCTGCAGCCAGATGTGGCTGGATCTGGCCACAGTTTCCCAGGAACATCTATCAGTGTTCCAAGCAAGAGAGTGTTCAGCATTGCTGTGGATGTTGTGACACCCCACCGCACCTGTCTGAATTCTGATTTGCTGGAGCAGCTGGTGTTCCTCAAAGTGGACAAAGGTACAGACGGAGTGAATGCCACCCTCCTCACTCCATCCACACCTATTTTATTTTTTTAGAAATCAGTTAATGTCCCCCTCTCAGAGCTGGAGGGAACACTTGCTGCACCACCAGCCAGCAGAGGAAGAACATGTCCCTGCTGAGCTCCTGTGCCAGGACAAACTTGGAGGTATGGACTGGAACTATGGGGAAGGAGGAGGCTCCAGGTGCTGGGCATAACCACTAAAACTGCACTCTGCCAGGATCAGGGAGGCCTAGTGGCACTGCTGGCAGTGCAGCAGGCCTGTAAATGCCAGGACCAAGAATCCCCTGGTGAAAGGTGGGTAGGAGGTGCCATAATGCACCTAACACATGCATGCTAATGCATGCATGCATGCATGGTCCTGGCTGGGGAAAGCCCAGACCTATTACGTCAGGCCTGAGGCTTACTGGTTGCAGTAGAGTTGTGATGCTCCAGGTGAGCTCAGCTTAGCTGCCTGAGATGCCAGCTTTTGGGTTGAAAATTCCTTTGTCAGGCTGAGTAAGCACCTGCAGTTGGTGTTTCTGATGGTCCTGGATGGAAGGAATAGTAAAGAAGTCAGAGACTAGCCTGGCATACAACGCAGGCAAGAAAGCCAGTCAGTGAAAATGGAAATGGAAGCATCAGAGGGTGAGGGACAGGCTAGCATGGGGATGGGAGGGGAAGGGGGATGTAGAAGCACAGGTAAAAGTGTAGAGGTACCTGGGGAGTCAGATGCCCGGCAGCTTGTAATATGTCAGAATTCCATTCTCTATACTGAGTCTATAAGTTTCTGTACCTACTACCTAGGAGGTTGATGAAGTGAAATGTATAGGTCTAGTTTTGAAAAATGGTTTGTAAATTGGATCAGGCCTGAGAGACTGGAGGTATTGTGTGTGTGTGGGGGGGGGGGGGGGGCGGTTGGTGCGGAATGTGCCCCCACAGGTACTTGGGTGTTGCTGTCTTTGATAGATTCTGGTGTGCAGTTTGTGGGGGTATGGAGATAGTTGGCAGGTTTTGTGTTTTGAGCTGTAGGGAGGTGGCTTCAGTTCTGCTGATGAGGTTAGGTGCCTGTTTTAATTTACAAACCACTTTTCAGAGCTGGGCCTATGAACTTCACTTCATCAGCCTCTTAGGTAGTAGGTACAGAAACTTGTGGACTCAATATACACAGTGGAATTCTGACACACTGCAACTTACCAGATATCTGACTCCCCAGGCACCTCTGTATTTTTACCTCGCTGCTATATTCCCCTTTGCCCCTACCCCCCACCCCAGCCTGTCCCTCACCCCCCGATGCCTCTATTTCCATTTTCAATGACTGGCTTTCTTGCCTACACTGAATTCCAGGCCAGCCTCTGGCTTCCTTACTATTCCTTCCATCCAGGACCAGCAGACACACAGACCAAATACAGGTGCTTCTTCAGCCTGACAAAAGGTTTTTCAACCCAAACGTTTGCTGAGATATTTCTCTAACTATACAGCTGGCCTACTAAAAGATACCAGGTTGTCTTACCTGTTGTTATTTAAAGTGGTGGACTGGAATGAGGCTGCAGGGGAGGAGGAGTCCTCATTGGGGCACACTATCATGTTGTGTAGAGGCCCCAGTGCCAGTGAGGGCACATCTTAAGACACACACAGAGTCACACAGTGAGGGTGCACCTTAGCGCACACACTTGAGAGGAAACTCTTGCAGGATATGAAAGAAGGGTTCTGTCAGAGTTTGCCTGCCTGAGATGCTGCTGCTGCTACTGTGCTAGTGCTCACTCACTGGAGGGAGCACTTGCTGTATCACCAGTTATTTTATACCCGTTGCCATTTGAAGTGGTGGACTGGGCTGAGACTGTAGAGGAGGAGACCTCATTGGGGCACACTACCATGTTGTGTAGAGTCCCCAATGCCAGTGAGGGCGCACCTTAACACACACAGTGTCATCCACCCATGTCATGAGTTTTTCCTGTCAGCAGCCTGAGATGTAGGGCCCCAGAATCCAGGTAGGTACTGCACCTACCTTCTTGAAAGCTGGCAGGCTTTGTGGATGCAGCAGGGCCTAGAAGGCCTGCAGTTTTACCCCCCTGTGACCTAACACAGATAGTCGCACAATCACCCATGTCACGAGTTTTGCCTCTCAGTAGCCTGAGGTGTAGGGCCCCAAAAGCCAGAAACCCCTGTAACTAGATCTTTGAAACTTGGCAGGATTTGTGGTCTCAGTAGGGGCCACTATCCCTGCAGTTTTCACTCCCCCCTTGCCTTAACACACACACAGTGCCACTCATGTCATGAGATTTGTTTGTCAGCAGCCTGAGGTACAATTTCCCAGAAACCCCTATACCTATCTCCTTGAAACTTGGCAGGTGTCTTGGCCTCAGTAGGGGCTACCACCCCTGCAGTTTTCACCCCACTGTGGCTTAATGCATATATATGACACTTGCTTTACTTTCAAGAATTTAAGGTTCTGTTGCCCAGAAACCCCTGCATCTATCTCCTTGAAACTTGGCATTCTTCATGGCCTCAGAAGAGGCTACCATCTCTGAAAGGTTCTCCAAATCAAGCAAGAAATGACAAAGTTATAGGCTGTTTTGTGCTTCCCCATTATACCCTATGGGTGAAATGTCAAAACAGCTTCGTAACAGCAAAACTGTTTTGATGAAACAAAACAGAACAGTGGTTTTGAAACTAAATAAAATTTTAAATGAAACACTGTTCCATCACAATGTCAAAACACAAGTCAAAATGGAATGGTGCCATTTTGCACAGCCCTACTGGGCATGAGCCCCCACCCATAAACCTGATAAAATAATTTCTGCCTAGGTGTTCCAATGAGAAAAAACTTCCCCACTCTTGAGAAATATTTAACTGTAACTGGGTTTATTAATGGTGGAAGGAGAGATGGGATGACAAGCAGATTTAAGAACCCCTTAATTATCAGTAGCCTACCTCAACCCACTATTAACAGTTTAGCACTGTTAATAGGTTCAGAATTCTCTTTCTGTCCCACAGATGATGAACAGTGAAGTCAGAAGAACTAATGTAAATCTTAGCCCAAGGTTTCCTTTGCCTCACTACCAGTGGGGTGCCACTCTACCATTGCTGTTGCCACTGGCCCTGCACTGCCAATGCGGGGGGCACTGCTCCTCTTCTGGTTGCAGAGGCAACGCAACTCTTTTAGATTCAAGCTCAGCTCTTTCAGGATCTGGCAGGTACAGGTTATTTCTTGCTAGTACCCTAAGGATTTCAGCTCAGTAGTACCAAGAGGGTAACAAGCTCAGACTGAATCCACTAAAAAGATTTGCATATCATTCGTACTTATCTCTTTATGGTTAGGTGATGAAATGCAATACCAGCCCTCCCAGAAGAGCTCCAGTCTGAAGCCTCTCCTCGCTTCTGTGGTGATTCCTGAGCAGGGGGGGTCTCTTCACCTTAGACTTCCACACAAGACATGATGAGCTCTGATGCCTTAGCTACATTTTGGGTGCACCTATGAATTGCTGTCTGGTGACATTGCTACGGTGCTATGCTTTAGTACTTCCTTTTGGAAGTACTAAATGCTTAGATTTCCCAGCTACATTGCCATAGAGGCATGCTATATCCAGGGAGCACATTGCTACAGCGACATAGCTGGTGATCACATGTAGACCTGCATGATCGCTACGTCACCATAGCACACTGTACAACAATGTAGTGCATCTCTACATCACCATAGGGTGACGTGTAGATGTGACCTTACTCAAGTTTCTCTTACAGCATCAGACCCCTTATGAACTCAACAATTTTACAAGGCAGGTCCAGTGCACATAACTCTGAATTTGCTGGCTGCTTATGGTCAAAATGTTAAAAGCAATTAAAACATGTTATCACAGTAAAACAAACACAAAAGAGTTTTTCATTGTTTTGCCCATGTCTACATGTGAAATTAATGCAAAGCAACAAACTCTTTGTTTATTGCTCCCAGGCCCTGCGTTTACACATGTGCCCGGGACTGCAGCACATTGAGTCAGGTCAGAACAGCCCCAGCTCTACATGCTGTGGAAGGGCTGGCTGGGAAATGACAGTGCTCCAGTATGGGGCAAGCAAACAGGAGGCCCCTGCACTTAAGTACCCTCATGCCCTAGCCAGCCCCATCTGTGTGCAAAAGGGAGAAAGTATTTACAAGTACTATCCTGCTGTGGAGTTAATTAGTGTACTGCTGCCTAATAGCAGCACATGACCATGTCTACACGAGACGCTGATTGCGCAGTCATTACTGCGCTGTCATTTAGTGCTAGTTTATACAAGTTGAGTGTGAAATTCAAGTGCATCACACTTCCGGTAGTAGCTTACCGCTACACTAGGGGAGGGGTACATCAAGGGCTCAGTGAGCAACTGTTTACCAGGGCACCCAAGAAGAAACTAGGAGTAATGGCCAGAAACTCCTGGAAGACCAATTCAGACTCAACATTAGGAAAAACTTCTTCACAGTCTGGGCGTCCAGACTATGGAATCAGCTCCTTCCAGAGGTGGTTCAATCACCTATCCAGGAAATCTTCAAGAGGAGACTAGACAGTCACCTTGCTGGTGTCACCTAGTTATCTTTCCTGATTGATGCAGGGGGCTGGACCCAATTATCTTCCAAGGTCCCTTCCAGCTTTAAAATCTATGAATCTATGAACCTATGAAAGTGCCACTGCTCAGCTCCTCCTGGCTCTTCAGTCAAGGAGAGCTGGAAGTTGGGGCCAACACCAGTGCTGGCCCCAGCAGTCTTATGTGGTGTCCTGGAGCAGCGTGTTGGCCAGCACCAAGGCCTGGCGAGCAGCCAGAGTGTTGCTTTGGATGATCCAACTTCCATGGGTGCGTCCCTGTAAGTGGGAACATATATTTCCCCACAGATGAACAGCAGCAGTACAATATGTGCTGCTGCTGCTTGTCCCCAGGAAACGCCCATGCACGCACACAGTGGCACACAGCGCATTGCTCTGGGTGGGGTAAGAGACCCAGTGCACTTATCTGGGGTCCTGATGGTCTCTGAGGGCTGCAGCCATGGCAATCCAGCAGCACAGAGCTTGGCTGGCAACCTAGCTAGCCAGGCTCTGGTTGTCATCTGACACAACATTCACCACCCTGCATTTTTAAGGCATCATTTTTTTTACCTCAGGATGTTCTGGTGTCAAAACCGCCCCTGCATTGAAAATTAGCAGTGCAGGGAAGGCCTGCATGTGTGGGCGCAGATGGATTTGCAGTGCCACATATTGCACGTCTGCACTCATCTGGATGTGCACCAACTGTGCCAGCGCATATTTGTTGAGCATGTGTTGCACCACTTTTTGATCCTTTTTTGTGGGGGCTGGCTTAACGTCTGATTGATCTGACTTCGTACATCACTCTATCACATGCCATCAAATAATGACATTTTCTATCTAGAAAGGACAATGAATAAAAATTACCAAGATTAAAAAATGAGATGCACAAATCTAAAATGTTCCCTTCATGAATTTCACACTTGACTGAAAATTATCTAATGAAAATGGCTGCCTCTGAAAATCCACCCCCAATCTTTGGTTCCTACTTAAGTAACTCCTTATGAAGCATAAAAAAATCAATTAGAGATAAAGCAAGGTTTGAAACCTATGTATCATTTACAGTAATAGGAGAGACGGTGGCACTTTAAGGTCTGACTTTTACTCACTCTCTTATTACTGAAGTAATTTACAAAAAACACTTAAGTAGTCCCATGATGAAATAAAACATGCACAGAGTCTTACCTCAAAATGATGTGGATGTTAAAATCTGTTTTATTAATTTTATTTTTTCATCCATTTAATTGTACCTATTACATTTTAGAATAAACTTTTAACTTGTGTGAAGTAATTCAAGTACATTTGGAATCCATGGAGCTTTGGTGAATACAGTACCATAATAGTAAGGACTAGTTTTCTCCTCCCCCACATCCTCTTTCCAGCTTATGCTGGGAGGCGAGAGCATAAAAAGACTCAAGGCAATAAATGTTTTTTTTTTCTATTACTCTCAGGACAAGATTAAACTTTTAAGATGTTCAGTGCTATAGAAGCCAAATAATTCACTCTTCTGAGTGTCTCCTGAGAAGGTCATCACAAGTAGAGATAGGCAAATAGCAGATTTATTTTCATTCATTGGTAAATTTGAAAACTCAAAGAAAAATTTTCTTTGGGAATCCACCAAGGCTTAATATTCCAAGACAGAATATTGGCTTGGTATTG